ACCCATCAACAAAAGTACGTTGCCTCGATCAACCAGAATCTGAAATGACTTGGACAAAGTTGCTGCTAAATCACATGCCTTTAAAATTCCACATTCAATTATTCACAAACTTTGCTCAGTGGTTCATTAGTTGCTAGAGAAGCATGAAGTACTCATGGTTGCAGGTGTGTTGTCTTTGGCTCCCACATCTTGTTAATACAAGCAAGAATGCTGGGCACTATTGCAATTCTATGAACATTTTGTTAAAAAAAATAAAAAAAACTTTACTCCTAATTTTAGTTAAAATAGGAATTGTAGGTACATTTTTTAATCATACATTCTTGAAACCGTTGGTCTTGTTTTCATTCTTTTCAAATGTTGAAACAGAAGCTAACATGTTATGCAATATTTATGGAACTCCTTTCTGATGTTTCCACCCATTGTGCTTTAATACTGTAACACTAAACAGTGTTCTTAAGAAAATTTTAAAATATTAAATTTCTGGGTTATAAAGAGGATCTCTCAGGAGAAACTCTCTGTTCATTTAATGCCACTCACATAAAATAATGGTTCTATTGTGTGTTAACCTATTGAAACATTGTATTATCATGCAATATTGGTGGACATAGTGGAATTATATTTTAGCTTCAATGAAATAAGTGCTCACATCTGATAGCATAAGAACGGCTCTTGTTAGTTTGACAAGAAACCTGATGCTTTGAAAAATGCTTAACATTATCTGCAGTGTAGATTCCTAATTCAATCTGTCCTGAAGTCTTTTGAGCTCCATTTTACACCTGTTTTAATATAACTTTCTGCAAGCATCTTTTCAAATGTTCAAAACAGAAAGAGCTGGGAAAACTCAGCAGTTTAGGCAGCATCTATGGAGAAAGGAAAGTGAGTCAACGTTTCGGGTCCACGACCCTTCGTCAGAACACGCCTCTTGTTTTGTTTTGTTTATTCAAATGTTTAAATTGTTTCAGTGCCGTCCATTTTAATCTACAGACAAACATTGGATGAACACAAGAAAAAAGGATAGGAAGTATTGGTTAAAGTCTTGTTTGCACAATAGGCGAATCTCGCTTTAATAATAATAATAATAATAATCCTTGCATTTGATATAGCGCTTTTCACGTCGGGAGGACATCCCAAAGCGCTTCACAGAACACACTGTAAAGTGAATTGACTGTATATTTGTGGGCGAACGCGGCAGCCAATTGCGCACAGCAATGTCCCACAGACAGTCGTAGATTGAAAATGACCAATTTATTATTGTTTTGTTTTGGAGGGATTATTATTAGGCGTGTGGAGTAAGGAAACTTGCCCAAGGTTTCACCCTCTGCCTGGAATTGATATGATAAGTTGCTATATCCTGTAGCTTAGTGTTTAGAGCACTCGCTTTGCAAGCGAGAGACCAGAGTTCAATTCCAGGCAGGGCGAAACCTTGGGCAAGTTTCCTTACTCCACACAGAGCCTAATAATAATCCCTCCAAAAAAACAAAAACAATAATAAATTGGTCATTTTCAATCTACGACTGTTTGTGGGACATTGCTGTGCGCAATTGGCTGCCGCGTTCGCCCACAAATATACAGTCAATTCACTTTACAGTGTGTTCCGTGAAGCGCTTTGGGACGTCCTCCCGACGTGAAAAGCGCTATATCAAATACAAGGATTATTATTATTATTATTATTATTATTATTATCCTGTAGTTTCGGTGTGAATGTAAATTATCTGTAATATTAAAATTTGTATGTGTGATAAAAAGTTGGTTAAGTTAATTAATCACTTTCGCTTTCTCTCTCTATCTCTCTCACACATACACACACGTATGTTTCTATTAAATAGTTACTTATCTCTCTGACATGTCATTTTAGCTCAAACAGTATCATCATGGCACTGTTCGAAAGATAGGAGATTTTCAAAATGTGCTGGTTATCATTTCCTCAAAGAAATTAGTGGTGGCTATTTGTGAGATAGATTGAAAAAGAATTAGTCATGCCTTATGAATTTACCAGAATTCGTTGAGAAATTAAACTAGCGAAGGAGCAAATTGGGCAATTTGGTTGCAGCTTTTGTCCACAATTGCACAGTCACGTCTCTTGACAACGATTGCCTGTGAAGCGCTTTGAAATTTTTCAACATTATAGACACTACATCAAATGCATGGATTACTTATGTATTTCAGTGCCTTGAGATGATCTCCTAATGTGAAAGGCGTTATACAAAAATAATGTGATGTTGTTGTATTTAGAAAGCACATTTTGAAATCCTTCCGATGTGAAAGGCACTATATCAACGTAAATTGTATCGTATCTACAGGATAGCCCTCCATCCTGAGTTTATTTTCTCAATGAATTCCAGTAAATTCATGAGGCCTGACCGATTTTTTTCAGTCAATCCACATGGGCTGCACCTTTACACCATCTGTGCCTTAACATGAGCATCAATAGAATCTTGTAATATGTTCACAATCATTTCCCCATATTACAGTAGTTTTGATGGGGGATATGAGAGCATCATTGAAGTTGATCATTACTCTAAATTCTATTCTAAATGGTGTAAATTCTATCAGTAGCAGTTAAAAAGCAAAAATAGATTTAGAAATTTAGGTTATGCCTAATGAATCTGTTGGAATTTTTCTGTGGGTAATTGCATCTACCTTATTGCTTTTGGATTCCAAGCTGAAAAATGATTCTTTTAAAAAATATATAAAGAGGGTAAAGGATAGAGTAGTTTTGAATCTGGGGTGAAAGGATAGGGTAGTTTTTAATTCTGGGTTTCTAAAGGAAAATCAGGCATGGGGCATTTTTAGTGATGTTTTAGAATGCAGGAGTGAAGAGTGATTCTGGTTTCCATTACTCAATAAGATGGGCAGAAGCATATCCGTTAGGGATGTAATAATAATAATAATCCTTGCATTTGATATAGCGCTTTTCGCGTCGGGAGGACGTGCCAAAGCGCTTCACAGAATATACTGTAAAGTGAATTGACTGTATATTTGTGGGCGAATGCGGCAGCCAATTGCGCACAGCAATGTCCCACAAACAGTCGTGAATTGAAAATGACTAATTTTATTATTGTTTTTGGTTTTGGAGGGATTATTATTAGGCGTGTGGAGTAAGGAGTAAGGAAACTTGCCCAAGGTTTCGCCCTTCCTGGAATTGAACTCAGGTCTCTCGCTTACAAAGCGAGTGCTCTAACCACTGAGCTACAGGAAACCGCAGATAGCAAAATCGACCCCAAGTTACAGCTTCAATCTCCAACTGCTGTGTGCAATTGGTGCCACAGTTCACCCACAAATAAGTCAATCCACGTTACAATATATTCAGTGAAGTGGTTTGAGACATCTCAACAATGTGATAAGGTGTTATATCAAATGCAAGGATTATTATTATCACTGCCTGTGAGGGATGGTCCACTTCTAATATAGCCTATTAGCCTCTTATACGATCTGTTCGGGATGCTAACTGGAATGAACCAAAACACATTTCCAGGTGCCTCTGATATCTGTTATGTATCAACATAAGATTACCATTTAATGGATATATAGTCATTAGAATCAGTCCAGAGAATGTACACATCAGAGTCTTTAGATGCCTTTAGCATGTGAGCCATGTGCAAACTCTGCATGAATGCATGTCTGCGGTGTGCATTGGACAAACCATGTGCAAATTCACCAGAATGATACCAGGGCTTAAAGGGTTAAATTACAAGGACAGCTTGCGTTCACTTGGTCTCTATTTCCTTGAGTTTAGAAGGTTGAGGGGTGATCTGACTGAGGTTTTTAAAATAATAAAGGGATTTGATAGGGTAATATTAATAATCCTTACATTTGATATAGCACCTTATGCTGTCAAGGCATCTCAAAGTGTTTCAAAGAATATACTACAAAGTGAATTGCCTGTATATTTTGTGGGCATGCAGAAAAATGATTTCCTTTGATAACTGGAATCCAGAACAAGGGGGCATAATCTTAAAATTAGAGCTAGGTCTATTTAGGAGTGAAATTGAAACAGTTTTTCACCCAAAGAGTGGTGGAAATCTGAAACTCTCTCCCCCAAAAGGCTGCAAATGTTGGATCCATTACACATTTTCAAGACCGAGGTGGATAGATATTTGTTAGGTCAGGGTATTGAGGAATAATGGGGCAAGGGCGTGGAATTGGACTTGAGGTACAGACCAGCCCCCATCTCATGGCATGGCATGAGTCCTGTAGCTCAGTGGTTAGAGCACTCGCTTTGCAAGCGAGAGACCCGAGTTCAATTCCAAGCAGAGGGCGAAACCTTGGGCAAGTTTCCTTACTCCACACAGAGCCTAATAATAATCCCTCCAAAAACCAAAAACAATAATAAATTGGTCATTTTCAATCTACGACTGTTTGTGGGACATTGCTGCGCGCAATTGGCTGCCGCGTCCGCCCACGAATATACAGTCAATTCACTTTACAGCGCTTTGGGACGTCCTCCCGACGTGAAAAGCGCGATATCAAACGCAAGGATTATTATTATTATTATTATTATTATTATTATTATGGCATGGCGGAACAGGCTGGAGGGGCTGAACGACCTACTCCTGTTTCTACAACCCGTGCTTGTTCCAGAGGGAATAAGGGCAAGTGCTGTCCACTGCGCGCTCACCGATGTATTCCTTTCAATGATTAATGACACCGTTCAAAGGGCGCCTGGACTTGGACTGCAATAAAGAGCACAGGAGACCCTGGCGTGGGATGGATGGTATTGGGTTTACCAGCCCTGAAGGGTCTTCCTTGAGCTTTTATTGCATTGCACGACTTTTATATGTGCGTCGGTCTCCCCTCGTCCTTCCTTCCTCTCCAAAAAAAAAAGTGCACACACACACACACACACACACATACACTGACAAGGAAGCATTTTTGCCTTTATAAAAGGCTGGTCAACAGGTCAGTCAGTCAGTCAGCAGCTGTGTTAAATGATCTGTGGGGCAAACTGTTGAACGTCACACCTTTTCTCTCCCCCTCTCTCCCCCCCTCTCTCTCCCCATCTCCACCCCCTTTTTTTTCTCTCTCTCTCTCCTTTACAGAGCAACGTTTAGTGGTTCTGGAGACACACACACATACATATGTATACAGACGCACAGAGAGAGGTTGTTTCCTCCCCACACGCACACTTTTTACCAGGAACGCAGAAGAAAAAGCACAACTGTGTGTGTCTCTGTGTGTGTGTCATCTTTGGGGGAAAAACTGTTGAACGTCACACGTTTTCTCCCCCATCTCCATCCCCCCCCCTTTTTTTTTTCCCCCTCCTTCACAGAGCAACGTTTAGTGGGTCTGGACACACACACACGTACATATGTGTGTGTGTCTGTCTGTGTGTGTGGTCCAACCGTTATCACAGCGAGAGTCAAAGAATAAGGTGAGAAAATAATTATACGTATAATAAATTAAATAGTGTGGGGGGAGGAGGAAACTCCCCATCAGAAAGGGGGTTGCTTTTTAAATCCGTTTAAAGAAAGATTATGACTGTACTTGTGCTCTCTCTGCCCTCTCCCCTGCCATCCCCTGCCCTGCCCTCCTCTCCCTTCCCTCTCCCCTGCCATCTGCCCTCTCCTCTGCCCTCTCCCCTGCCCTCCCCTCTGCCCTCTCCCCTGCCATCTACCCTCTCCCCTGCCCTCCCCTCTGCCCCCCCCTGCCCTGCCCTCCCTCTCCCCCTCCCCTGCCCTCTCCCCTCCCCCTCTCCCCTCTCCCCTGCCCTCCCTCTCCTCTCCCCTCCCCCGCCCTCCCCTCTCCTCTCCCCCCCTCCCCTCTCTCCTGCCCTCCCCCTTCCCCTCTCCCCTGCCCTCTCCCCTCCCCCTCTCCCCTGCCCCTCTGCCCCCCCCCTGCCCTGCCCTCCCCCCTCTCTCCCCTGCCCTCTCCCCTGCCCTCCCTCTCCCCTCTCCCCCTCCCCCCTGCCCCCTCCCCTCTCCCCTCTCCCCTCCCCTGCCCTCCCCCTGCCCTCCCCCTCTCCCCTGCCCTCCCCTCCTCTGCCCTGTTTACTGTGTGATGCGTGTGTGCGCTTCCTCCAAAAGGCGCACAGACGCAACTCACTGCTCAATGTGTTAAACTTTCCCATATCTCTCTCTCTCTCTGTGTATTGTGTAACTCTTTAGGTTTAAAGTCAGTGAAAAGCAACGGGCGGATCTCTCTCTCTCTCTCTCTCTCTTGTGTGGGGTTTTTTTGTTGTTTGTTTGTTAGCCTCAGATTTGCTAATGGTTTGGACAGAAAACGAGCCCCTGCGTTAAAATGTGCTGAGAACTTGTTATCCTCCCCAGTAGCTCGAACTCACTCAGTGCAAGACTGCTGTCTATGATTTGCCTGTCTTCAGTTTTTATTCAGGAGAATGGGAAAACGACCCCCTACATGAACTGGTGTCCTTGGATGAAAATCTCTTGTAAGATCCTTGATCACTAATCCAGGGCTTTGGGGCTAAAGGTTAGTCCTTTTTCTCCCCACCCTCCACCCTCCTCCCATCCTCTGTTGCAATGTTTTCTTACACTCTAACTGACTGTTAGTGTCTGCTAAAGACAAGGAAGTGTCGAGAGGGCATTACCGTTTTAGAATTATACAGCACAGAAGGAGGCCATTTGGTCCATCCTATCTGCACCGGCTCTTTGAAAAGAGCTATCCAAATTCAATCCCACTCCCCCGCTCTCTCCCCATAGCCCCGCAAACTTGTCCTCCCCAAATAATTATTCGCCATCTTAACTCTGGAGTCGCTTCAAGCTGCGAGAGCTACGGTTGGCGGCCTTTTAATCCGTTGATTCACCTAGTTATAGGTTAATAGTTAATATATAGGTTCATTCGTCACTCATTTTGTGGTAGCTTGTGGGACCTTTCTGTAAGCAAATGTTTGATTACAAAAATGTCTCGACAATGGTTATTGTGATCAGTGGTGCGATGCTTTGATGTGATCAGCCACTGAACAATGCAACTTATTTTTTCCATTTAGCTCTATAGCAAAACTATTGGGGGTATTCCAATCTTTTGTATTCTAAAGTAGGTGGCAAGAGTGAACTTTTGCTATAGCTGTACCAAACATTTTAAGCAAAAAGTCGTAGAGGAACTTGCATTGCTCATCGTTTTGGATGTTATACGCCCATGCTGACATTTGCACTATACACTCCTCCCACTAGAATGTGGAAATTAGTTTAAAAAGACATAATCCTAACATGGAGATCAGTGTAAAAACCCTAAAGTGCCTTTTAACAAATTTTTGGCCATTGAGTTCCTAAATATTAGGAATGGTACTTGGTGCCTAGAAACCTCCTAAGTGCCATTAAAAATTGATCACAGAATCACTTATGGCACATTCTGTTTTTAGAACCCATTATCTAAAAATTTAAGCCGTGAAGGGAGATTTGAAAGCATTTTCTGGAGGACTACAATCGGAAAAGTTGCCTTTGAAACAAAATGTTTGTAGTTGGTTTGAGAGTGAGTATGCCTTCCTCATCTGAAAATGCCTTTTGGATGTGATGGAGTCAATGTGTCATGACCATTTCTCAGGCGCATTGTATCGTAGAGAGTGAACTACATCTGATAGAGAAATTACATTTCTGAAATTCACCTGAGGCTTTTGATCCATTTATGATTTTGAAATTGTTCACTGACATTGTTGCTTTTAAACCACTTGTTACATTTGCTTTCAGCTGCTGCAGTGCTCCTGTTTTGTAATCATTAAATGATGGGTGATATTTTTATTCACGGATTGCTTTTGAACTGTTTTGTGCAATATTATTACTACAGGTTAACAGAAATCTTATTCAGTTGTTTTCAAGAAACTACAGTATTCATCATAATAATAATCATCCTTGCATTTTATATAATGCCTTGTGTCTTCGAGATGACTTAAACCATTTCAGGGAATTTACTATAAAGTGAATTGACTCTATTTTGTGGGTGATTAGCACAACAGCGTTCAACAAACTTGCAAGGCAAGTGGTTTAACCAATATGCTACAGGTTCCACAAAATGTATTATTGCTTTACAAATGCACAGCTAAAGGCAATGACACTTCAAGAATTTATATTTAAAAGCATGAATGAATTAATGGTGATCTTGTCAATGATAGTGAAAACAGTTTAGTCATAAGCACAGTCTTGGAGAGTTTATAATGGAGTCTCCATGTCCATTGCATTAAAGATGCAAGTTATTGTACAGTTGAACAGTAGACTAGGTTTCTGTCTATTTGCTGCTTAAACTCCACACATCCAATTGGTGGAACCATCGCTCAATGGGAAGGGATGTGTGCCCGAGCTGCGGAAAGAAAGACGATGGCAATGCTCTCAACCATTTCAACAACAAGATTACATTTGTATAGCGCCTTTCACGTCAGGAGGACGGGCCAAGGCATTTCGTGCTGAGATGCATTGCCACTGGGAGTTCCTTGTATCTATCATCCACCTAGTCAGGGCTCAAACCGGTTCTTTTCAGATGTTGAATGACCAACTAGTGACTATCCTCCTTGAGAGGGAGGTAAGCGGGGTTTCCTTGGAGGTGAACTGGCTCCAAAATTCCATGCCTGGCAATGGAATATTGGAATCGAGCCAGCCCTCTGTGGCAGTCTCGGTAGTCCAGTTCCTGAGCCAGGTGGGTCCATAGTATTCCAGGCACTGCTAATGACAGCAGAGCTCATTGTCAGGACCTGGATGGGCAGACCAGTCACTGGGGGGCAGGGAGTCATTCCACTCAGCTCCTGTTAACCCTGCAAGCCAAAGTCCTAACGGGTAGGGTGGTCCAAGCAGCGGGAAAGCTTGCTGGACAGCAATATCAATGACAAGCTATGTGGTCTTAGCTGGGTAGACCCCAGCAGTACCCCAACGCGCACTCTGGGGTCACCGAGCCTTGGCTCGTGACAACCTGTGCCTAATATTTTCTGGAATTAGGTAAGCAGAACACATCCCCCCAGGAGAGAATGCGCATTCCATTTCAACAATATACCTCTGGGATTTCCATGTGTAGGTCGGATACATGGAAATCTCAGCTTGGTTTGGATACTTTGAAGCATGGTAATGGGTTTCTGCATGTGTCAGACATCGGCTGACCACAAAAAATTAATTCAATGTACTTCAGAATGTTTGTTTCCTGTTTTGCATGGTATTATATAAAATATCAAGCTCTGTGACAGACTGACTGATTGCTATCAGAGAGAAGTAAACTTTTCTCTGTGACTAAAAAAAGGAAGAGACAAAATGGTGGTATGTATATTGAATCATTTGCAATGAGATTTTGTAATAATTCAACCAGTATCCTGCAAGTTTTTTAATATAGATATAAATGTTTTGATAGGGTAGACATAGGGAAGATGTTTCCATTTGTGGGAGAGCGCAAAACCAGGGGCCATCAATATAAAATAGTCACAAATAGATCAAATAGGGAAGTGAGAAGAAATTTCTTCACATTAAAGTAATGAGGATGTGGAACATGCTACCACAAGGAGTTGTTGAAGCAAATAGCATAGATGTATTTAAGGGAAAGCTAGATAGGTACATGAGGGAGAAAGGAATAGAAGGTTAATCCTGAAGGCTTAGTTGAGGAAGGGCAAGATGAGGCTCATAGGGAGCATAAACACCGGCATAGACCAATTAGGCCGAATGGCCTGTTTCTGTGCTGTATATTCTAATGTATTCTAATGTATAAGGTATGGACTGCCAAGGACAACTGGTTCAGGATTAGGAAACAGACAGTACCTACAGGACATTGAAATCCTAGCTGGATTCCTGTGAAATTCAATCCAGGAGCATTTGTAAAGCAGCAGGAGGTTGTAGAAATAGATGACCAGTTTGAACAAATCTATGTGACATAGAAGCTGAAATCCAATAACTGACTGACCTTTTTTTCATAGGATGCAATGCAAAGTGCAATGATTGCATTTTGTAGCTGAAATTTGCAGTCAGTTTGCACACATCGTTTCCCCGCCAAAAATCTACAGTCAACTCACTATATTCAACTAGCTCAATGAAATGTATTTGAAACGGGTCAATCAGTTATTGAATTTCAGCTTCTATGTCACATAGATTTGTTTTAATTGGTCATCTATTTCTACAACTTCCTGCTGTTTTACAAATGCTCCTGAATTGACCTTTGCAAGAATCCAGCTAGGATTTCACTGTCCTGTGTCCACTGTCTGTTTCCTAATCCTGAACCAGTCAACTCATATTCTTTGAAGCCTTTTGAGATGTCTCGAAGATGTGATAAGGTGCTATATTAATTGCAAGAATTATTATTATGGATGCCCTACAAATAGCCATGAAGTGAATAACTACTTTTATTTGCAGAATTGCTGGCCAGGACACTGGGAGAAACTCCCTTCATTTTCCGAATAGTGTCATGGGATTTTTAATGCCTATCTGAACTGTCAGACAGGATCTCGGTTTAATATCTTGTGTATAAGTGTATATTTATAATAATGAATAATGTATTATATGTACCAGCACTATTAAACGCCTTGGGAAGTCCTCTTAATGTGGAAGGAGCTATGTACAATTGTATTGTGCCCCATAATCTCTACGGCTGACCTTTACAGAAATCTCTTCAACATGAAAAGGCATGAATTCATAGCCACCTCTTCCGTTATTGTGAAAACCTGATGCAAAACTGCCCAGACTAAATATGCAACCATATTACTAGATGGGAAAGTTGTAGAGTTGGTTCCTGGTTTCATTATCAACAACAGTTTCATATCTTTAGTCAGCCAGCTGTCTGACGCACTTAAAAAAAACATCAACATGCTTAAGAATATCCAAACAGACTGAGAATTCATGAAATGAAAATTTCCCTGTGTCTGAAAAGGAATGAACAATCTCTCTCAGCTCATCTAATTTGTGGACATGGTGCTCCAGATTATGTGTTGTGATCCAACTATGCAGTTTTAATCAGCTAAAACTGTATAGCTTGCCTTTGAAAGCACAGATTAGCAAACTTCCTGCTTCCTGTCCATTTTAGCAGAGCAGCATTCATACAGGCTGCAGCTACTGTTTTATCATTTAGCAAAGTGATAAAGTGAGAGGTCCGCTGCCTCCCAGCGGACTCGATCTTCTCAACCCCCTCTCACTGATTCTTCCACCCTCTATGCAGATGAATCTTTGCTACGACTACAGTAGAACCATCATGAACGTGTTTCTTTTTAATGCTGGCGTCAATAATTCTCCAGATAAATTCTACTTAAGTGTGGAATGCAACTCATTCACTTTACAAACTGAAGGATTGTGAATTCAGATGATTCTGTCCTTTTTTCTTAAAGGAGGAGGACTCATTCTCAGAGGTTTCACTTATGCAGGGCCCAACCACTCCACAGAGCACACAGTATTAATCCCCACTCCATTGATGCAGCGTTCAAGCCCTGTGTCAGATCTTTGAGATCACAATTTAGGCTAACACACGCAATGCAGTGCTGGGGAATCTCTGCTGCATTGTGTGCTCCTTCTGCTGAGATG